GGGAGGGGGGGAGCGCGAGAGTGTGTGAGTGGCTGAGTGAGTTTACCCCTATGAGGCGGTGAAAGGCCCGGGGCCTACCTCAGAGGAGCGGGGTCGCGGCGCCAGCTAGCAGCGGGCCCCCTCCTGGTCCCCGGGCCCGGCGGCGCGGCGGCGGCGGCTCGGTTGTGAGGAGGCGGGGAAGCGGGTGTCCGTCCGGTCCCAGCCATGGAGGGCATGGACGTGGACCTGGATCCCGAGCTGATGCAGAAGTTCAGCTGTCTGGGCACTACCGACAAGGACGTGCTCATCTCCGAGTTCCAGCGGCTGCTCGGCTTCCAGCTCAACCCGGCAGGCTGCGCCTTCTTCCTGGACATGACCAACTGGTGAGCCGGCCCCGCCGCGCCAGCGTTGGCTGCGGCCTCGGGGCCCCGAGGGGAAGGGAAGGGACACCCGAGCCCGGCAGGGCGGGCCGGGCGGGCACTGAGAGGCACCCCCTCCCGAGGCGGGGAGGGCGTATGGGAGATCCCCAGGGGCATGGGAGAAATTTGGGGGTTGAGCAGGGCTGGAGAGGACGCACTAGGAGAGTTGGGGGCCACAGAGGGAAGGAGGGGCGAAAGAGATTGGGGGGGGTGGAACTCCTGAAGTTATGTGGAGTATTAGGGGCCGAGGAAAGTGGGAAGAGGGGATAAGACTTGAACATCAAGGCATAGGGGTAGTAGACCTGGGAGGAGGAGGGCTAATAGTAAAAAGCACGGGAAATCTGAATTTGGGGAGCGGAGAAAAGCTTGCGGGTGTGGGAGTTAGGGGTTGAGGAAGACTGGGATGAAGGGAAACTCCGGGAGAGTATTAGGTGCTATAGAGGCACCAGGGGCGCGGGAAAGACTTGAGATTAGGAGCTGAGCAGAACTGTGTGTGTCCGTGACCATCTACTCGAGGACAGATAGGGAAATGGGACGAATATTATGGGGGAGGACAAGTGAGTACGGTAAGAGAGACGACTTTCCGAAGAGTTGTGCCAGGGAGGGGTGGGATCTACTAGTAGATTGGACAATGGAGGACTGGGAGTGCTAGACCTGGGACAGGGTCTGGGAATAAAAACCTTAGAAAAGTGGAGGAAAGGAGATTATCTTGGGGACAGAAACTTTCTGAGGGCACTGGAGCCCTCTGTTCCACATGGAGAAGGGCTTATCCGAAAGAAAGCTGGGCTGGTAGAAGTTTGGGAAAATGGAGAACTTGACTTAGGCTGGGAACCAAGTATTTTTAGCTTGGAGTCGCCTGGTAGAAGACTGAATTGAGGCAGAAGACCATGGCACTTAGACTAAAGGAGTGTTTCTTTGTTTTGGATGCAGCACTTTCCATTTTTGATAAGCAAGACTTCCCCTTGTTCTTTGAGGAGAGGTAGTTAGTTGGGTTCACTCAGGGTGAGTGATAAAGTGAAGACCATTAGACTTCCATTGAAAGGATTTCAGGTAAAGCAACTCACCTTTCTTTGGCCAGAAAGCCATGGGATGAGTGCCCTTTGCTCTTTGTTGAGCGTTCAGTCCCCTGACATGTGGAATCTTGTTTCTCTTGGCATCTCTTGTACAACCAGCTCCCCCTTTATTCCGTGTCTACTGAATGCCTCAGGCAATGCCAGAAAAAGTCTGTGAGCCTCGTCTTTATCCCGTTCCTCATCTAAGCTTATCCTGAATGATGCTCATTTTACTGATGAAGTCTTGTAGCCATGGCCCCACCAAAGGTGATGTGTGAATTTTTTTCGGTGCAGCATCATTGGTGGGTCCTGTTATTTTATCTTTAAAGTTGACTATTATTGCAAGAGTGAGGTTGAATTTCTAGATATTTAGAAAACTCCTTTAGGTGTTGAATGAAGGAGACGGTCTTTAGAATTAAGGAAGCATTTGTGATTCCAGCTTGTATCTTTCATGTCTAGGATGATCTCAGGCAGGGACTATACAACTTACAATAATTTTCTGAATGCCAACCTATGGTGTTTATATAGAGAGTGGCAGGGTTATTGAAAACATTGAGAAGAGGTGTTACACTGGTGAAATTGAGAAATAAAGCTATATCTTGAGGCAGGTTGTTCTCTTGCCTGCCTTTTTTTCCCACCCCCAGCTCTTTTTCTTCCTTGTTTACACTAGTTCAGCATAGGAAACTTGGCATATTGTCGCTGCCAGTTTGGTAGGGGAGGATCATTATTTCTCCCCACCCCCTTGTGAGTTGTACCATTTAAAACCCTGACCTAATAAGTTTTTAGTTCTTTTAGAGACAGTATTTGTTAGTACAATGATTATGGTTACTAAACCAGTGTAATGAATTTTATATGCTTGAGGTGTGTGTTTAACATCTAAGATTGTTTTTAGGTATTGTGAAAGAATGAGGCCCAATGTGGATAAGAAAAAAATAATTTAAAATAGTTACCTTATAAAAATTTTACTTGAAAATTTTTGTTTTTAATTATTAAGCTCAAAGACAGAGTAGCAAACACTTTGATGAGATGTTATCTCTATAAACAAGGTATGATACATTTCTGAACAAAGGAGTGAACCATTAAAACTGTGTTCTGGTTTTAAAGCAGTTAGAAGTGAATAGCTTCTTAGGAATCCAGGTAATGAAGTGATCACTCAGCTTTAAGCTACATTGCCTTATTTTTTGGCTCTAGAAGTCTCATGTTCTTTGTTTTCTTTGATTATAAAGTGAAAAATAATTTGTGAAATGAAAGCAGTAAGGCTTGTTATTCTTTTCTAGTGAAAGCAGTTAGTTCCATTATCCAATGTTGTATTTTGATTGCTATGTTGACCTGGCTAAATTTGTCTTGTTCAATTTTTATTTTAAACAAATACCCATCATAGTTAATAAAACCTAGTTAAAACAAATACATGCATGCATACTTGGTCAAAATATTTGTGTGTTGTTTAAGTTAAATCTCTAAAGTCTAGAAATGTATTGTTTTTAAGTGTCATTTAATGTCTAACTTTGGAACCTGTTGAGAGAGCCTAATACAGGTTGGCAAAATGTGTCTCAAATTGCTGTGGTTAACCTGTTGAATTGAAGATGATTAACCTTCCTGTGACTTCACAAGTGCCTGCTTTGGGTTGTAATAAATAACCACCATTCAGTTGCCTGATGACAGTTAAAAAATAATGGGATAAATTAAAAATCATTCTTCCAAAATGAAGGTTATGAGTCTTCTAAAATGAGTTGGAAAGACTATGTTTGTGTTTTCAAAAGTAAGAATTTTGTTGTTGGTGATAAACAACTTTCTAAGAAGCTATTGAAAAACTGACTAATTTGAATGTTTTAATCTTCTAAATTGTCTATCCTGTAAGCACAGATTTTTTTTTTCTTGGTCTTAGGTTGGGTATGCATTATGTAGATATTTCATTATTTGTTAGAACCAAGTATTGTTTCAGTTTAAGCATTTTTGTAGTGTTTACACTTAAGCTGGCAGCCATGCTGCTGGAGATGGGTGAAATTGCCTCTAACAAAAGTAGTCGATTTTCAAAAAGAAAAAAAGAAGAAACAATAAAAAAAAAATAAAGTAGTCAATTTTCAGTTCCAAAGTGAGTATGTAAAGTGAATAAATGGTATGGTGAAGAAATCCAATATCCAAAGCCAAACTGAAATGACTTGTAGATTAGTATAACTTTCTATAGGTGGACTGTCTTGCAGAGACACTACTGGGCTGTGAATATAGAACCTAGAATTCTAAAACTGGAAGCAGGTTAAAGAGATTCTGTGGTTCATTCCAGTTTTTCCTGCAGAATTGAATATAACCCTTCCAAGATAGCTTATTTTTAGGTCCCTGAGGGCAGAGATTTGCATGATACCTTATTAGAGAGTTTAATTACTTTTCTAGTTAGAATGTATGTCAAAACTGTCTCTCTTACTACAATTTAAGCTTTTTTTCATTTGTTTATGTCCAGACGGAGAATATCTAATAAACACTGCCCTTAAGAGGGCAGAAAACTTTTATTCAGATCACTAACAATTTCAACCATTTATAATTTAAACACATTCAGTTTAATGGTTTCTCACCCTTTAAAGTGGTCTAATAGATTTATATATAGTTTTCAAGGGAAACCAACAGGATTCAAAGGAGAGTTTACATATGATTTTTAAAATATTGTAAAATAAACATAACAAAATTTACCATTTTAACCAATTTTAAGTACGGTTCAGTGTTACATAAGACTTTAAATTTACTTCTGGCCTTCAAAGTCATTTGTGTCTGTTTTTAAAGTGAGTTGTTCTTTAGCATTTATGACAGACAAATACTACTAGATTTTTAGAAGACATTAACTTTAGAGTTAGCACTCGGCTTATTTCTCAGTATAGGTATAAGTAAAATGTCTTTCACTAGCATATAGACAACATTGGCTGTTTCTCTCCTATTCACTGGGCTAGGGCCTTGCAGTTTTGGTGTTGCAACATCCTAGGTTGCCTCCAGGTATCTTCAGAAAGCGGTGTGTATTTTTTGGAACACTGTATGCAGGTGCTCATCATGCATGGAACAGATGTTTTCTAAAAAAGTAACTTGGGAAAAATATTTTTGTAAAACAATGTCCTATTGACTATGTCAGCATTGTCAGAGGCGCCCTACTGGATAAAATCAAGGTATAACCACTACGCAATGAGGTTGAAATCAGAATCTAAATGTGAAAATCAGTTGTACCGCATATCTGATCTCACAGTACCTCCCCTGCCTGGTCTTAATCCATTTCTCAGTACCTGCATGCTAAGTGAGTTTCTGATTCACACTCAGGTTTATCTGTATGAATCTAGGAAAAGTCTCTTTATGAGAGATAAAACTTGATATTAATACTGGTTTCCTTAAAAAATGTGTGCCAAGCAGCAGTTTTAGGAAGAGGATAGGGAAGGGTTGTATAACATTTAATGACAGAGTGTTGTGCGCTCTATAGCATTTTTAAGAATGTTGGGAGATTTTGTTTTGGACATCATTCTCTTCCAATTTTTTTGGTCTTTTTTGAGTGGCACACGCAAGTTGGGACTCTGGGTATAATATAAAATAGTTTACAAATAGAGCACAAACTAAGTTTTAAAAGAACACAGTAGAAAAGTACATTGTTGTCCTGCAGGAAGTCCTTTTACTGAACTGTCCTGTTGCAGTGGGACTTGCATTTCTGATCAGAGATCAAGTCAGAACCAATCTCCATTACAGCTCAGGCCATTGGAGGTGGTTTCTTTACCACCTGCCATCTTCCCAGTCCCCCGTCCCCCCGTCCACACACACACACACACACACACACACACACACACACACACACACACACACACACACACACATACAAATGTGTCTAGCACATAACAGCAAAAACTGTCAACCGGACAGTATTGAAACTGTATTTTGATTAGACCCCTA